TTTTTTTTTTTTCATTTGAACATTAAAATGACATTTCATGAGAGCTGGATAATGTATGTGCATTTAGTGTATTTAACACCATCCCCGCCAATGATTAAATAACTCAGCAGTCAGTGTTTCAAATCATGTATAAAACAAAATCCTTTCTTCTGATGTGTACACGTGTATACATATATATTCATATATATATATATAGATGTGTTTTTATAACAAAAGTATTATGGGATGTCTTGAATGATTAGTGATTCATGAGTCAGTCCTGGAAGGGATGTTAAGTGTTAAAAGCGGTGATAAAAATAATCCTTTAAAATGTTATTTTAATGAATTAAAAATGTTCTGACTGCATCTTCCTTCTTAAAAAAAAAATAAAAATCTTTGGGCTTCAGCATGTAAACATTAGCAGCCTGAACTCATTATTGTTAAAACTCTTAAAAAGGCACCGTTGGTTGCACTCCAGTACAATGTTCCACCTACCAACCCAGCAGCAGCCTCAAGTGTTATAGCAACAGTGTAAAATGATGTCCAAAAACAGAAGGTGTTATACTGATAATCTCACATCTCAATTCTCTTTGCAAAGGGACAGGCAGGAGTCACTGACTGTGTTTTCATACACAGGGAAAGTTTGATATTCACATTATTGCTGGTTTTATGACGATAAGATTCATTCTACCCATTTTTAGTTTATTTATTCATTTATAAATTTCTGTGTATGTAAACTCGGTCACTAGTTCTGATTACACCTTCATGATGTGAATTCTGCTTCCTGAGTACCTCCCTCCCTGCTTCTTTGTTTACTTCCTGTCAGGAGGCTTTTTAATTGTGTACTCTATCCTCCAGTGCCTTGAGCTCAGCCTCCACCTGCGCTGGCAGGTCGGCGCCAACCTGCTGAGTAAAGTAGGCTTTCAATTCCTGGGTCTCCTTCTGCCAGAAAGGCTTGGGCACGTCGAACAGTGCGCCCATATCCACCTTGCTGCCCAGACCTTTAGTGTCGATGGCGCCATTTTGTGGCACCCAGCCGATGATGCTCTTTTTGGCTGCCTCGTCCTCTCTCTCTCTGCCGCAGCGTTTGAAGATCCACTCTAGCACGCGGGCGTTCTCTCCGAAGCCAGGCCACAGGAAGGCGCCGGTTGCCGGGTCCTTTCTGAACCAGTTGACGTGGAAGATCTTGGGCAGCTGAGTGGGGGCCTTACGGCTCTGCATGCTCAGCCAGTGAGCGAGGTAGTCTCCAAAGTTGTAGCCGAAGAACGGCCGCATGGCGAAGGGGTCGTGCATGATCACCTTGCCTGGAGGGAAAATGGAAAAGCAACTTCTTCATTATTTCATTATGTGAAAAACAGCAAAGGTAAAGAGACAGCTCCGGAGAGTTTCACAGAACTTCTGCATCTCAGAAACATGTGAGGATCTGTACCTTTATGCTCAGCAGCTGCTGTAGCCTCAGACCTCATTGCAGCTCCAATAAATACTCCGTGCTGCCAGTCGAAAGACTCGTAGACCAATGGGACTCCTGACAACAACATCATGTGATCACATTCAGTGCAAGCCTACTTTCTGCAACAAGTTATACTGCGCTCCAATTTTTTATTTTTTTTTTAACTTTATGCTGTTGTAATACACTCAAAAGAGAAAATACAAGGATCGTACTTCATGAACCACGAGCTGCAATCAATGCTTGACGATTTCAAACACTGTGAGTCCTATCTGTCTCTATTAAAACAGTGACTCCCAACCTTTTAAGTCAATGTACCCACACAGGCCAGACCCATGTACCCGCTTTAATTTACCAATAAGTGTAAACCAGTAAAATACAGAGCCACCATATTCTCTTAATTTACATATGGCATCTTGAGTCAGTATGTACCCCGACTCCTCCAACAAAACAGACAGGAGGTTAATATATAATACATCTATAATTTCTCAAAAAAAAAAAAAAAACATTTCATTTCACTAAAGCTGAAAATGTTATTGATGAATGGTAAATGGCCTGTATTTGTATATGTTGTATATTTGTTCATGTTGCCCATGAACATCAAGACTGCACCGTTTCATTTTAAATGTGTTGTGGGTGTTTTTGTGTGGATGAACAGCCAAAATGTGATAACATGAATCCACCGGGGTACAAAGTGTGTTTAAACTTGGCACCAACCTTCTGGCCTCCTCCCACCAAAGATGATGGCATCAATGGGGACACCCTCCTCACTCTCCCACTGGGGGTCAATGATGGGACACTGAGCCGCTGGTGCACAGAAACGGGAGTTGGGGTGGGCGCAGGGTGTTGAGCTTCCTGTGTACAAAGAAGAAAAACTGTTTGGTTTGTTTGTTTGTTTTTAACTGCTCATGTTTTTAATGTCACGGTTAATGGTTAACTGCGTCTACTCTTGACTCTCACAGTACTCTTGACCTACCAAAGTCAAGAGTACTGCAACCCCTGGGAAAAAAACAGAAAATCTCATGGGGACACCCAATTATAAATCTTCACTCTCAAACAAAGAGAGCCATGCATTTCCTTGAAAACTGCATTAA